CTGAGCCACCCAGGTGCCCCGGGGATGGTCATTCTTTGCCTTTCTGACTACTGGGCCAGAATAAGCTCTGGAAAGTCTTTTTTTTTTTTTTTTTTTTTTAACCTATAAAGATCTGTGGTTGTAATAGTAAATGATTTGAATGGCATTCAAAGCCCCTAAGATAACTGAGATGATTTTAAGCAGACTTTGGGCTCACAGAAGGGAGTGTGGTCTGTATTAATTTCACTAACTCTCCACCTCTTGTAAGTAGCTTCAGACTGATGTAGTTTTTGCAGATGTAAAAAACAAACAACAGAAAGACTAATAAAAGCTTTTCTTAACAATTAAAGTATTAAATCATTAATTTTACCTCAAAGAAGAATTTAAAAGCTCGGGGCTCCCTGGTGGCTCAGTTGGTTAAGCGTCTGCCTTCAGCTCAGGTCATGATCGCAGGGTCCTAGGATCGAGTCCCACATCAGGCTCCCAGCTCAGTGGGGAGTCTGCTTCTCCCTCTCCCCCTGCTCGTGCTCTGTCTCTCTCACTATCTCTCTCTCTCTCAAATAAATAAATAAAATCTTCTAAAAAAAATAATTTAAAAGCTCTAATTTATATCCATTTTACAGACCAGAAACTAAAACTTGAAGATATTAATGTTTGGGTTGTGTCCTGCTGGTTGTACAGCTGATGTACAAGTTTCCCTATGACATATCACAGACCAAAGTCCTAATCTACATGTTCCTTTCAAGGGATTCTGTGAATATGCAGGAATTACATATTTTCTTCCCTTGCCCCCGTTTATGTTAATAATTATGTTCTTTTTGCCCTTCCAGTGCTCATGTCCTGTCTTCTTTTCCACTCTACCCTTTTCCTAGAGGCATTCCATGATAAAGGTTCAAGTGAAAGTCATTGACGGATGCCTGAAGTCCTCATGGACTAGCTAAACCATAGTACCAAGTAAGTCTTAGGGGCACATTCGTTAGCTTAGATTCTGAAGAAAGTATCTGGAACCACAGAGAATACCCGCTTCAGAAATTGTGAGCTAAACCAGTTATTTGCTGGGGCCAGGACTGTACTTTTGGAATGTTTTATTTATTTATTTATTTATTTATTTATTTATTTATTTATTTATTTGAGATTTTATTTATTTATTTGACAGACACAGCGAGAAAGGGAACACAAGCAGGGGGAGTGGGAGAGGGAGAAGCAGGCTTCCCGCGGAGCAGGGAGCCCGGCGCGGGACTCGATCCCAGGACCCTGGGATCATGACCTGAGCCTAAGGCAGGCGCTTAACCACTGAGCCACCCAGGCGCCCCTATTTTTGGATGTTTTTATAAGTAGAATATTCAGGTTCTTAATCTGTGGGGATTCTTTCGCTCAACATTATGTTTAAGAAATGTCATCCAAGTGGTTCCAAGTAGCTGTAATTTCATTTTCATTGCTGGATGCTGTTCCATTGTATGACTGTACAACACTAAAAAATCCAGTCTGCTGTTCATGAAAATCTGAGTTATTTCCATATGGAGGCTATTGCAAATATCACTACCATGAACGGTTTTGCACATGTCTCTTGGTATAAATGTTCAGTTCAGTAGATAATTACAAAAAGAATTCCAAAGCGGTTGTACTAATTTACAATCTTATCAGCTGTGAATGGGGATTCCTATTTTACATTAATCCTAATTTTTGATTTTTGCTAGTAAGGTTGGGAACTCAGAGGAAACATCATCCTTGCCCAAATGCAGCATAACTGCATTTGCAGGTAACTAAGCTGTCTTCTTGGTCTCTTGTCATTATGACCTACTCCCTAGCTGTAACTGTTCACACTCTAGCTGAAAGGGTATGCTGTGAACTGAGACAATTTAATAACATATGGCAGGGTACCAGTATGATGATCTCATGTATGAGTAACCATTTTAAAATTATCTTAGTAAATTGTTGTTGATTCATTGGCCTGAAAAGAGCAATGTCAAAGTAAGCCATTCAGAGGGTGAGGCATTAAGCCTGGACACTTTGCTAAGATGAACACTGAGGTCTCCCTAATGTATCTTCTGTTTATCATAGTGTTTGGATGAAAGTTCTGAAGATACCAGAACTTTTGCAATACATTACTATAGAAGGTAGCATTAATTAAACTGACAACTTCTGACCCATTCCTTTTAAGTAAGTCAAGCCCTTTTATTAAAGTTCCTTATAAATCCTAATAATCTTATTTCAGAAATTCTTATAAACTATACCTACTTTTTACTCAGTTAAGAGAAAACCTGTGAGAGATGATCATTTACCTTAAATGATCCTGGGGCCAGGAACAATTCCAGAAATAAATTTGCAAAATGAAATGTCTGTTACTTTAACTTGTCTTTGAAAAGCTGAGTGAGACTTTGGAGATGGTGTGGAGAAGAAAGGAGAATCACCTTCTTGAATTTATTTGTAAGTAATGTATATGCATCTATAATTTTTCTTCTTGCTGATGGTAAGGAGAAACTGAATGAGCAAGTTAAACTTGTAGCCTTCAAAGAGAACCTCCCCTTCTTGCCCCATACACCTTAAGTAGGTGAAGACGAAAAGGAGATGTCATCTCTGAATAATAAATGGAAGATAAAGAGAGGCTTAATCTCTGTGGTATTTCCAGTACCCAGAGTTTCTTTAACCACAAAGTCCATTCCCACCCTCTTGTCTTTTTTTTTTTTTTTTAATTACAGGACTGGTCACTGATTTCCAATACATCATCAATGTTCTTCATTACCTTTTCTTCAGCCCATGGAGTCATGTGTAGAATGATGCAATCATCAAGGCTCTGGTGATAGTAAAAACAAATAAACACACCCAGTAACCTAGAAGTGAGGTTTTCATGTTCAAATCTACTCACACTGTCTTCGTGCCATTTGTTTTCAGCAGCATCCAGTTGACTTAATTGATTTAGATAATAGATTTAGCATAGACCCTGGCAATTTTTTCAAGAAATAGCAGAAATCCTTTGCAGATGAGGAAAAAAAAAAAAAAGGAAAACAAGAGTGAGGTTAAGGAAGGAGGAGGAAATATGGGGCAAAAGAGAGTGCCTCTTGCACATTTTCACAAGCGTAAGTCAATACAGCTGTGACTCATGGGTGTTAAGAGGGGCCTCCTCCTTGTTCAGGCAAAGAGCAGCTTCCTCCTGTCCTTCAGCTTCTGTGCAGACTGAAAAACCTCCATCAGGGAAAGGTGGAGACTTCTCAACTATCCTCCTGCCTCCAAGAGGCTACTCTGACTGCTCTAGAGTTGGGGAAGAGAGGAAAAAGAAAGGGTGGGAAAAGTCTTATTTGACTGGAATTGGTTCCATTTGAAACTTATTTACATCTGAATAATAAAGTTAAATATATCTGAAATTTATTTTGCACTTAGTAGATATTTGAAGCTGACTTGTGTGTGTGTGTGTGTGTGTGTGTGTGTGTGTGTGTGTGAGCGGTTAGTGTGGATCTCATGTGTGAATAACCACCCCCTCTCCACGCCCCCAATCACTGAAAATTTCTCCCTGGCAGTTTCCTTGACTGCAGGAACCCTTCCCTCTCTCTACTTATAATGCCCCCTTCAGCAAGATCTTGCTGGGCAGAAGGGGGCTGAGCAGTAAGAATAAAGGTTGTATTACAAAATTTGCTCAGGAGTCTGAGTCTGAAAACAGTCAATAGCATGAATTTTAATTTTCAACCATTATATTATACCCTTAAATTAGATGACAAATGATCAAAAGACACAGTTGGGTTTTTTTGTTGTTATTGTCAAAGCAGCTTTCTTTCTAGATTGTTAAAGATATGAAATTAATACGTATGTGCTTGAAACTTGATTTACTCTCCTCTCCTTTTACGGTGAGAATACACAAAGCTAAGTTTATACAGTTATTTTATAGCAGAGTAAGTTCTAGGAAGAGGGTCTCCTACATCCTAGGCCACTGTTCTTTCAACATTGTGCCTTTAGGGTGGATACTTAATAAAATGATTGTTTTATGAGAGATGCTCGTGTTTCTTTGCCTGGTGTATCTTAAAGTATTAAAGGGTGGTTATGATAGAGACCAAAGCTACTCTAACTCAATTCTTTTTTTTTTTTTTAAGATTTTTATTTATTTATTTGACAGAGAGAGACACAGCGAGAGAGGGAACACAAGCAGGGGGAGTGGGAGAGAGAGAAGCAGGCTCCCCACTGAGCAGGGAGCCCGATGTGGGACTCGATCCCAGGACCCCGGGATCATGACCCCGAAGGCAGACGCTTAACGTCTGAGCCACCCAGGCGCCCCCTCTAACTCAATTCTTAGATAATCTTTTTAAGATAATCTTTTTTCAGTTTAAGTGAAGACACAGGATAACTGAGGCCACAGAGATGATGACATTTCTTTGAAGAAGTTTAACTAAAAAACCTAAAAGTTCCTGTTACAGTTTGGATAGTGAGCAAATTGTGTCCATCTGTTTATATGACACATGTTGTCATGATATATGGCTTTCCTGAGGAACAAAGGTGGAGGCCAAGCAATTGCATAATTAATTATAGTGTTAAATTCTCCGTAGCTAAAATCTGTACACTAGCATTGCTGTAATCATCAATTCATAGGCCAAATATGATTGATAGAAATAATTTAATTTTTAGGCCAATCCTCTTACCTTATTTTCCATCTTAATATTTCTCCCTATAAAGTATTTTTTTAATACTTAAATAATTACAGAATATATTTGGAATTCTTGGTAATCCTATGATTTGGGATTATGTTATTTCTTACTCTGGAAAGACTTTATTCAGGTACCAACTGCAGTTAGATTATGCAAATATTCTAATTACGTAGAGTAGAAATGATTCTTTTTCAGAATGTTTTGTAATAGTCCTGCTAAACAGCTTCAAATCATTATTTGGTCCTTCCTAGCCTCTAAGCTTATTCAAAATTGAAAATGGAGTTATTCTTCTTTTTCACTATTATTTTTGCTGTAATTCATACCACTCTCACTCCCTCCCTCCCTCTCCCTATGTCTCTTTCTCTCTTTCTCCTTCTCTCTCTCTCTCTCTCTCTCTCTATATATATATACATGCACTCATATACATACACATACATACATACTTAAAGAGATTTATTTATAGTTCTCTCAGGTCTTTTATATATAATACATTTGGGTATACAGATGAAATATCATCATCAAATACTTATAGGCCTTATAAACCTATGGAAGAATAAGTGAGCAAGAATTCTGTTATTTCAGAGCGTCAAGCTATGACCAATAGCTAGAAATGACTGGAAGCAGATTTCAGCACAATAGAGATTATGGCTTCCTCCCAATCAGAACTATTAGAACATAGAAAGGGCTTCTTGGGGAGGAAGTGAGGCCTCTTTCACCAGAAGGATTTAAGTAGAGACTGGTTTTATTTGTATTGAGAGAAACTTAATAGGCTTTAGTTGAAGTAGAAGACCTCTATAATTCCTCCAAACTCTAGGATTTTAAGATTTCTCTTTAGTTCTGAATCCAAGTCACAAATGCATATTCAGAAATGAAACTTTGTAACTTTAAATTATTTGCTAATAATATGTATGCTCAAGTGGACAACTAACTAGGCCAAGATCAGATCTGACCAGGAATTACTGCCAAAATGTGCAATTAAAAATTATACAACCTGGGCGTGGACACCAGAGATCAAGTTTTACTTCTGAATAAGTAAGTGCTAGTGACTTGAATTAGCTCGGTTCCCTAGGAGCACTGAGGACTTAAGGCTTTGGGTTGAGAAGGATCAGTGTGTGAGAAAGAACTAGAGCTTTGCCCTATGAAATGAGAGGCTGCAGTTGGCCACTAGCTCAGTAAAGCTTAAAGCAAAAGGAAACCTGCTACATTTTTCACAAGATTTAGCATCACTTAGTATTCATGTTTATTGGAAAGTGATAAATGAAGGGTTTGTTGAATTCTGAAGTGATTTTTTATTTTAATTACAATTTATATCCCCACTTGCTTTCAAGTGAAATATTAGATAGTTACGATTTTCTGTTCCATAATGGAACCAAACTTTCGTTTCGGTGAATATACATCAGGAATGGTTATGCCAACCAAAATGCAAAACTATAATACAATGGAAAGGCAGTCAATTAAAACAACACTTTTTTTCATATAGTAAATGACATAAATAACTTTCATATAGTAAGTAACATTCAAAGAGACGCTGGTAAATGACACTCTTTCCTGTTTCTAGAAGCTTGGTACTATTCTAGAGTAGTAGAAGAAAAGAGAGTTTCAGGATATATTTCAGTTTAAGGGGTTCTTTGCAAGACTGGTTTGGGTCTGCAGCTTCTAAGAGGATTCATTATGATACCTCTGTCTGGTTTGTTGTTGTTGTTGTTGTTGTTGTTTGGACTAACTAGGGTTTTTACTACTTTGCATCATGTACTGATAACATAGCTGCAGACGTGATACTATTTTATACCATGCAACAAATACAGTAAAACTTGTCATAACAGAGCCACATGCTTCCCCCAGGAACCACATATAGTTTCTACTGAAAGATAAGGGCATGTCAAAACATGTGTGGTAAAATCATTAAGCTTTGCTTCTGAGTCTCTTTTCTCCAAAGGGCATATCAATGACATGAGAAAGGGGGCACAGCAGCATTTTCTGGTCCTTACCAATCAGGCTGGGGTAGTGCAGAATCCCTGTTTTGACTTGTACACCGGCAGATTTTAGTTTGCAAGTTGTGTATGTCTGTATGCGCCACACAACCTTGGGGACAGCCAAGTGTCAGTTTATTCCCAAGTTCATGGTGAGGAACTCACTTTAAAACACAGGGTGAGCTGGGTAGCGATGTGGGTTGCATCACAGTCTCTCACCCAGTATTTCTCAGACAAGATCTTTCTAATCTGCTGATTAGATGGTGGCTTTGTGGCATTTGGCACATTCGTTTTAAACAGGATGTATCCATTTAGTACACCCACCTGGTTCCTGCCGAAGAGATGACCTGTTGAGACAAACAAAACTCTAGAGTTTCCAGGATACAATTGAAAGCAGTAAGACTATGTATCCCCTCCCCACCAAAAAGACTGTGTGGTATCTTCCTGGAAAATTCACTTAATATTATAAAGATAAAATGAATTTATCTGACATTTTCAAAGACATTTAATACCTGGGAATTTCCAGAATGTACTGAACTAAAATAAAGGATTTTTTTTTTAAAGATTTTATTTATTTATTTGAGAGAGAGAGAATGAGAGAGAGCACATGAGAGTGGGGAGGGTCAGAGGGAGAAGCAGACTCCCTGCCGAGCAGGGAGCCCGATGCGGGACTCGATCCTGGGACTCCAGGATCATGACCTGAGCCGAAGGCAGTCGCTTAACCAACTGAGCCACCCAGGCACCCTAAAACAAAGGATTTTTAATAAATGTTGATTAAATGGAAAAAAAAAAAAAAAGCAGTTCCTTAGTTGGTGTAAGCTTAGGTTAACAAACTCCTTGAAGACAAGGGCTAAAAGTCATTCCACATAATTATTAGGTGGTCTGAAATTGTAGTCTGACTTGAATCAAAGCAATCTGTCTTGTGTTGACAGCTCTGCTAGCCCTTCATCTGTGGGTAAGCAGACCAGTCCACATATGACATATTTGCAAAATGTCATGTGATCAGGGAAAGATTGACTATGGCCCTATAGCCCTTTTTCCCTCCTGTAAAGCCAACTTCAGTTTCTTTCATTAGATGATACTAGAGTGCCATGATAATGCTGTACTTGAAACTGAGGCTTTGGAGATGCCTGATAGATAAGAATTAAATCTCACAACTCTTCACCCAACATCATTCAATCTGATTTACTTGGAGTGAAAGAGAGCACTATTTGTAATCACACCAGGACAACACTGTACCTTGGCTATGCAAAAAACAGTACGCTCAGTTCTGCTAGCCTACCAATGCAGAAAGGCCATTAGGAACCCCGGCTTTGTCCTGTTACATTAACTATGTAACTATCTGCAAAATAGGTAGCAAAATTTGAGACTTGTAGCACAAATATTCTTTATCCCATCTTCTAAATTAGACCCAAACTAAGATCATGGTTGCCCTCAATGGTAACACCCACCTGGCCTTCCAGTCCTGTATGGAATCACAGTGTTTAGCCAACCCAGAAAACAGAATGTGGTTCATTGGAAACTCAGACTGGTTTCTCATTATTTGTTAATTTGTGAGTCACTTAATTGAGAAATTCTTGCTGTAAAAGGAGGAATGCAGGAATAGAAGAGTCAGGACAGCACAGGCAAATGCATGAGAGCAAAATAAACCTTTCACTATATGCTGTTGGATTTGTATCTTTTTTTTTTTTTAAGATTTTATTTATTTATTTGACAGAGAGAGGCAGTGAGAGAGGGAACACAAGCAGGGGGAGTGGGAGAGGGAGAAGCAGGCTTCTCGCGGAGCAGGGAGCCTGATGTGGGGCTCGATCCTAGGACCCTGAGATCATGACCTGAGCCGAAGGCAGACGCTTAACGACTGATCCACCCAGGCGCCCCTGGATTTGTATCTTTAAGCGTGGTCAATGCAAAAGTGAGCCAGGGAACAAAAAGTGTCCTATGGTGTTTACAGGTGGACAAAGGGATCCATCCTGCCTCTTGGCTCCTTTAGAGGAGTGCACAGAATCAGCTTGATGCTGTTTTTGTGATACTGTGCATGTCTCTGAGGGATTTAGAGTAGCTCTTCCCACCACCAAGTAAAGAGCATGAGAGTTAGGATTGAGAAAGTGTCTTTGGTCAGATTTAGGTAGGTTACTAAATTCTGATGATTTGTCTTAAAAGCTAATTCAGACGAAAGAAAGCAACGGGCCTGACCCATCAGGATAAATAGCTTAGAAGGAAGCAACCCTGTGGTTTTGTAGATTTGACTTTAAAAATCTAGTCTTTTGGATAAATATTAATAAAGAGAAATGATCAAATAGTGTTAAGAGTCTGGGGGGAAAAAACCTTAAATCACAGAATATTACATGGAAAGTGAGACTGAAAAATGGGAAAGTATAATCTGCAAAAAAGAATTTGGCCTCTTCCAGTGGAAAAAATCTAATTTGGAGGATTTTTGCTTTTGCAATTTTTGAAGGGCAGAAGTACCTTTATGAATTTGTCTGTGTGCTTGGAGCTGGGCCAGCCCCAGACTTTGTACATAATATAATGTATATTGGGAGTGCCAATTTTGTTGGAGGTGAGCTTGAGGAGGTTGAGGTTGCTAGGGGATTTATTTTGAGACCGTGTTACCTGACAAGCACAGTGTTTTAACTAACATTTTGTGCTTATTGCGGGTGGCTTGACAAGTCTCTTCCTGCTCCGTTTCAAGATGCCCCCTTACGTGTTGTTTTAGACCTGGGACACTTTGAATACCACCCACATGAGGCATGAAAGGGCTACATATTTCTGCAATCTGTTGCCATGAGCTAATGACAAATGTAATACCCAATAATATATAAGTCTGGACAGCAGGAAGATCCGTGTAAGCAAGAGAAATGGATTGATCTTATACTGAGATGAGCCATTATACCCTCTGCCTTATTTAAAACCAAAAACCTTTATTGTAACTTTTTTAAAATTATAACTTTTATTGCAACTTTTGCAATGTCTCATTTTCTCTCTATTCTCACATCTAGTTAATTTATCAAGCGCATACTTATGATGAATTATTTAGGCAACTGGAAAGGTTTTGTTTTGTTTTGTTTTAAGATTTTACTTATTTGAGGGGTGCCTGGGTGGCTCAGATGGTTAAGCGTCTGCCTTCGGCTCACGTCATGATCCCAGCGTCCTGGGATCGAGTCCTGCATCAGGCTCCCTGCTCCTTGGGAGCCTGCTTCTCCCTCTGCCTCTCTCTCTGTCTCTCATGAATAAATAAAATCTTTAAAAAAAAAAAAAGATTTTACTTATTTTTTTTATTAAAGATTTTATTTATTTATTCATGAGAGATAGAGAGAGAGAGGGGCAGAGGCAGAGGGAGAAGCAGGCTCCCCGCGGAGCAGGGAGCCCAGTGTGGGACTCAATCCCAGGACCCTGGGATCATGACCTGAGCCGAAGGCAGACGCTTAACCGACTGAGCCACCCAGGCGTCCCAAGATTTTACTTATTTGAGAGAGAGAGAAAGAGCGAGCACAGAAGAGAGGGAGAAGCAGGCTCCCTGCTCAGCGGGGAGCCCAATGCGGGGCTGGATCCCTGGACACCCTTGGATCATGACTGAGCCGAAGGCAGCTGCTTAACCAACTGAGCCATCCAGGTGCCCCAGCAATTGGAAAGTTCTAATGGCTATCCATTTGCAGACCTGTTGGGGAGGAATCAAACTGCTTTAAGTAGAAGGACAAAATTCATAAAATAACTCCATTTTTATAAATGCTTTAATGAGAAATAATCTTATTACCAAAAACAAAAGAAAACAACCTTCCATTGATAAATGGTAGCTTGTTGTGGCTGGATACACTGAAGGATTTAAAACTTGACCTTATACTCGTCTGGGAAGTTTTGCTGCTACAGACAACTGACAAGATGCAGATCCATGTTCTATCCACTTACTAGGATTTTCTTTTGGAACAGATTCCAAATGGGATTTTCTTAAGGAAGATCTGGTTTTAAGCAGAGTGTATACAGCATGAGTGAGCAAGACATGGAAGAATCAGGGCCAAAAACAAACAAACAAACAAACAAACAAGCAAAAAACCAAAAAAACTGGCTATAAAATTTAAGAGAGAAACTAGATTTAAAATAACATAGTATCCACCCTCCCTGCCCCCTTTGAAGTCTTCTGTCGCACTTGCTGGTGAACAGACAGAAAAATAGCTGCCTCAGGTTAATTAGAAAAAAGTCCAAATGTTCAGTAAGATAATTTTTGGAGTGAGTTTGTTCAGTTTCCTGTCTTTTCTATATATTTTTTTATATTTTTATGGAGATATAATCAGACATCCTTATGCAGGGAAGTGAAAGTCACCCTGATGTATCAAAGCCATACGGAAGTTCTTACATACTTTACAGCTTTGCTATTCAAAGCCTGGTTCCCAAACCAGTAACACTAGCTTCACCTGGGAGTTTGCAAGAAATGCATGATCTTGTGCCCTGCTATGGAAACTACAGAATCTGCATTTTAACAAGATCCCCAGGTAATTTGTTTGCACACTAAACTTTGAGAGGTATTGCTTTGTAGTGTTCACTTTGCCCCCGCCTCCTTTTTTGCTTAATCTGCACATGTACTAAGAAAAGACTCAGTTGTCTGAACATGGATTGCTCTGTGTATTCTCTCCAGTGACTGATTTAATGTGATGCTCTTTCTCTACCAGCTGCATACTTCCCGGCCACCAATGTTTATGGTCCTTAGGAAACGATTATGTACCCCAGTCAACTTTGTGGAAGGCAGATTTAGCTACACAAACTGTAACTAGGAAGTTGTCTTTAAATAAAATTAAACAATACACACCAAACTCATGTGTGAGTTTGTGGAATAGGAAGCTGACCAACTACTAACATTCATCAAAGGAAAGTGAAGAGAAATGTTCCGCTTTACCACTAGGTGGAAATAGAGTAATTTTGAGTATATTTTTCAGGGCCATGAACTACTACAGGAGATAAGCTGAAAGGGACCTAAGAAATCATTTGCTGTAATTCTTAGCTCCTTAATTTCATTGATGAGAAAACTGAGTTTCTGGAGATATTAAGTAAAATTGCATCTGTCTTACAAATGGTGGTCTTCTAGAGCTACGGAGGGGGAGAGTTGCTGGGAAGTTTTGATTCTTCAACCATTTTCATCTATATGAATAACGTGTCATTATCCTCCAGCATGAAGGGAAGACAGGATATAACACCTAAACTAATGACCAGCACAGTCACTTAAATTTGTAAGGATTGCTTTAGAATAAAACTATTTTTCCTTGTCCCTGTATTATAACATAATTCATCTCAATCAAGTAATAATTCTCCCTTTTTCCAATGAAGAGCTACTCAACCATCCCATAAAGTCATACAAAGAGTTTAATCGGATTTGTTTTTACAACATTTTTGGTTTTTACATTTCATATTGGGTTCAAGTTAAGTGGCCTAGAACAGAACTTCAGTTAGCAGGTTAAGGAAATACTTTTTGTTTTTCAGAACTTGAAATCCATTCCCATTATTTTCAAGAAAGGAAGGGAATCTGAATTCAGAGCTTGCGGGACATTAGAAATAACCTACTCCAATGTCTTTCCATATATATCTCACAGATGAGAAGTATCGGAGCACAAGGGATGAAGTGTGTTGCCCACAGTAGCAAAGCCATGTCCATGCCCTTCTTTGCTCCAGGAGAGACTCTAGCAGGTAGTTTGGCTTATATCTTTCTGTTGTTTGTTGGTGTGTATTAACCACAAAAGGATTATTTCCACTCATTACATCAAAGAGGGTGTTTAAAAGTTAACTTTTAGGGGCACCTAGTGGCTCAGTTGGTTAAGCATCTGCCTTCAGCTCAGGTCATGATCTCAGGGTCCTGGGATCGAGCCCCACACAGGGCTACCTGCTCAGCGGGGGGTCTGCTTCTCCCTCTGACCCTCCCCCCTCTCTTGCTCTGTCTCTCACTCTCTCTCTCAAATAAATAAGATCTTTTATTTTTTTAAAAGATTTTATTTATTTGAGAGTGAGAATGAGAGAGAGAGAGAGAGAGAGAGCATGAGAGGGGGAGGGTCAGAGGGAGAAGCAGACTCCCTGCCGAGCAGGGAGCCCGATGCGGGACTCGATCCCGGGACTCCAGGATCATGACCTGAGCCGAAGGCAGTCGCTTAACCAACTGAGCCACCCAGGCGCCCAATAAGATCTCTTAAAAAATAAAAAAATAAAAGTTAACTTTTAGTAACACCTCTGGTTTAAAAACTATTTCTTAAGTACTTATGTATTTAGTACCACAGTGCCATTTCCCTTTTGATATTTCTGTGACATGGTTGATTATGATCATCTAAAGATTGGTATTCCAGTACAGAGTCCTGGCTATTATTACCATGTTCTATACAAACATGGATAAAACATGTTGAATCAGCACATTAAGTCCAAACACACAGGAGCTGCCTGTCTAGGAGGCTGGGGCAGCAGGCTGTCCTAAGTGTCTAAAAGCCAGTCCTTGCATCACTGAGCAAATGACATACTTAGCTGCCTTCAGAACTTGAACATTTTCTCAGCAGTAGAGCCTCAAGTGTGGGACATTGGGCTCTTTTTTTTTTTTTTTAAGATTTTATTTATTTATTTGAGAGAGAGCGAGAGAGGGAGAGAGAGCACAGAGGAAGAGGGAGAGGGAGAAGCAGACTCCTTGCTGAGCAGGGAGCCCAATGCGGGGCTCGATCCCAAGACCCTGAGATCATGACCTGAGCTGAAGGCAGATGCTTAACCAACTGAGCCACCCAGGCGCCCCGCCATCTGGGCTCTTAATGGCACAACCCTACGGCCTGAGTCCCTCGCTATTAAAATGGTACCACAAGAAAAACTGGGGTGACCCTAAAATTAGGGGAGGAATTTGAAATAAAAAAGATATAGTGCAGGGGAATAAATGTCCTGAGGCATGATGGGAAATGACGAAACTCAGATTTCAGTTTGTTGAGGATGGAATGTGAACCAGTGTCTTGGTATGTATGGTTCAGGAGATTGCAGCCTCTGCTCTTAGCTCCTTGAGTACAATGAGCTAGAGGCAACCACGTGTGGTCCTGTTTCACAAGGTCTGACGGGAGGACTGGACAGGGATTCTGGTTCTACCACTTTGCAAACATTCCCTGCCTCAAGTCCTCTTTCAAAAAATTGGGACAACACTAGCAAAAATTTAGTGGAGCTCGGAGTTAATGGATAGAAAGTGCGTAGGAAGCACAGCATCTAGCACAAATGAACCTTATCTCATCTCATCTCACCATCTAGCTCAGTAAATGAACTTTAACTCCATCAAGACAGCTGGCCTCTCTGTGTGGCAACTTTCTCATCTCATCCCAGCTCACTCCCACAGGGACCTAGGATCACCCAGTAAGATACTGTGACACGTACACTTTGAAAAGTATAATACTCTACACAACAAATACAGGGTATCATTATAACTAAAGGCAAAGAGGAAAGTGCTGGAGTCTAAATACTTGGGAGTCTGAGAAAAAACTATGAAGGGCTCACTCAACTAGGAATGTAAACCAATAGCACATTCTTGATGGGTACATTTAATAGCAATGACAGTCGCTTAAACTGAAACTTCTTGAGGAGTTTTAGTTTGGAAACCGAAATCTTCCCCTACCCTGTGCCTTCTGATAAAATCATCTAACTCAAATCAGGTACATACTGGCCCTGAGGCCCTAACTGGACAGGGGTGGAGGAGGGAGTTGAGGAGAGAGGTGGGGGGTGTCCTGAAGGTGGGGAGATCAGGTTCTCTCAGGAAGGTATGGGATGTTGGTTAGTCCACTGACTAGAGGTGGAGATGAAGGAGGCCACGAAGTTTATCAGTCCATCAGCCAAACGACCACCGACCGATCAATCAATTCCTGCCCCCAAACCCAACAAGGGCTAGTCGATTCGTTGGGGGTATTTCGAAGGAAAAAGAGTGGCGGCTTGGGAGGTAGAACGGTGGGGCGCTGGAGAGGTGGGGCCCCTCCGGCTTCAGGCGCTGGCGTCCGCGGCGGCGTGGGGCGCGCCGGGCGAGTCCGGGCTTGCAGGAAGCGCGGGGGGTGGGGCAGCTCCCCCAACCTCCCCCCGTCCCGGGGCAGGTGGAACGGGTAGGCGCCTCGCGATCCGGGGAGAGAGGCCCTGGGGGCGTGCGGGGGGGCGGGGCGGGGGCCGGGCGAGGCGCGTCTCTCATTGGCCTCTCGGAACCGCCCGGCGCGCGCCGCGTTTATAAAGCAGCCACGGGCTCCTGCGGTCGGAAGCCAAGCTCCGACGCCCCGCTCTGCTCTGCTCTCTAGGCCCGCCGGCCCGCGCCCACCATGTCCACCATTCAGCAGCTGGTAGGAAGATGGCGCTTAGTGGAAAGCAAAGGCTTTGACGAATACATGAAGGAAGTAGGTGAGGCTCCCGGCCAGGCGGCGCCTGTAACGTGGCGAGTGTGCGTGTGTGTGTGTGTCTGTTCCTAGGTCCCCTTCAGCGTGCTGAGCCCAGCGGCCGGCCATGCCCGGCTGTCTACCCCAAACCCCTGTACCCCCATCCATCTCCCTCCCCCACCCCCCACCAGCACGTGGGCAAGCAGCCGCGAGAGCAGCGTGCGCTCGCCGCCCGCCTGCGGATTCTGAGATGTTCCGTCTCATGGGCCACCCAGCTCTCTTTGCTTTCCCCTAGCCCACGCGGCAGCCACCCGCACTGCGTCCTGCCCTTTAGCGCACTCCTCTTCCTCCCACCGCGGGCTTCACTTCTTTCAACCCCATCGGACAGCCCCCGTAACTTCCCCGATTTTTCTCTTCCCACCGCTCGTCTTCCCTCCTCCTGCCGCCATCCTGCCTCTCCCACTCGCCCCATCGTGGCCGCGCCCACTCCTTCTTTCCCACCTTGCTCCCGCCTTGCCTCATCTTTTGTTCCTAGGTGGCGTGCGGGTCCCCTCTTCTCCACAGGGCGCGGTCTCCAGCAGAAACCCTTTAGAAGGTCGGGATGGGGCGACCGCGTCGGCTTTTCTTCTGCCCTCGGCCGCCTCCCCCCCCAACCCGCAGGCCCTCTGCCCGCCTTCCCCGGGTGACCGGGTCCTTTGGTTTGGAGCAGCTCCCAGTGGAGCGTCGGGTTATCCGCGCCGCCCGGCCACAGAGCGGCGCCTAGAGGCGTGGTGCTGGCGACGCCGACCTTCTTTCTGCCGGCTCTGCCCGGCCTGAGCGCCGCGGTGGGCGGGTGGCCTCTCCGAGGGCAACGGCGGGGCCTGCTGTGCCCACGGATGGCCACGCGCTGCTGCCCTGCCCTCTGCGTCTCGAGGGTGAGGGGCCTAGAGGCAGGGAGTGGATCTTCTTGGAAAACCGCAGAGCCCTCCTGTGGCGGCTGCTTTCCAACTGCACGCAAGATGGGGGTGGCCCTGCAGAAGGCCCCCCACTGCTTGAAGCCTTTCAAAGCAATAGGAGTCTCTGTAGGAAGATTCCAGTTCTCTTCTCTCAGAACAGTACTTGATTCTCTGTTATTGTCCTTTTCTAAGCCAGTGACAACGATTGTATGCTGGTTGACACACTGGGTAGATGAGCAAACAAAAGTGGACCTTTGTCACAGGCCACTAGGAAGTGGGATGGAATACTACAGCATGGATCTGCTCTGAAAAGGGGCTTCCAGCCCTAAGACAACTTCCGGGACCCTGAGGCTGCTTTAGAAGCTGCCCATCCCACAGATGTTAACATGACAGCTTTCTGGTGCAGAAGTTACTACAAAGACCCTCTGCTGAAACCTAGTCCCTGTGGCACTTCAGAAGCCCTCCTTCGTTAGCCTTTATCCAAGACAATGACTGGTGAAGGCTGGTTCTGTGGTGAATCTTGAGTGTATTTATGATACTGTGAGTCAAAGTAGAACGCAGTCTTTTTCTTTTTTTTGCACTATAAATCTAGATCAAGATAACTCTGGAAAAAGCCAATTACTGCACTCATAGCCAAGAAAGGTCTGTGTGTGTTCACTTGTGTGAAGACCAAATAAAGAATGCTCTTTCTCTGCCCTTTGAAAGTGAATGTGTTCATTGGGTGGTTTGTTTCCAGGGTTCTGGAGTCATGACAGTTGTCAAGGTCAATACATTAGAGAGCAGTCGAGGTGTGAGAAGAGCAGAGCCCTGTATTTGTTCAAAGTGAGAATTAATAATGACTCATCTAACAACACGAGGCACCAGCCCCCACACTGGCAAAAGAGAAGGCACCAAGAGGACATTGCAAGCCTCGCTGAGTTTCTGTCATCAAGCCAGTTATTCTGCTTAGGTTGTAGTCTCGTCTGTGAAACCAGGATTTGGCCTAGATCTAAGTTGCCTTGTAAATGTTACCATTAGGGAGAAATACATAGATCATAAATTAAATACGATATCAATATAGTAATTGAGTTCCACAGCTCTGAAATGCTTACTGATTTTGAGGATTAAAATTTTCCCAGTTTATTAGCATCACGATTGTGCTCTTTGAACAGAATTGATTTGGATTTTGTGTAGTTATTAATCAGATACTTATCAAGAGCTTTGTACGTGTCAGACTGTGTGCTGGAGTCCTATAATACAGTGTTTGGCAGAATTGAGTACATCCATTTTAGAAGTCCAGATTTCTTCCCTAACTTTCTGAAGGCCAGCATAATAGCATGGTGGCCAAGAGCTTAAAGTTTGGAGCCAAACTGCCCGCTCTGTTGGTTGCAACTCTATCACTTCCTAGCTGAATGAGCTTGGGTAAGTTACTTCAGTGCCTCATTTTCTCATCTTGTAAAATGGACGCTATCTACTTCTCACACAGTTGTTGCAAGGCTTCCATTAATTCATATATGTTAAGTGCTGGCACATGGTAAGTGCTGGATATGTGTTTACACTTGTTATTGAGAAGTGAGTAAGTGGAAATATGTACCACACAGTAACTGCAATCAAATTACCGCATTTATTATGTAGACTATAGCTTTGGTCTTCCTGTTATTTAACATCATAAACCATTCTACAGGAGTGGGAATAGCTCTGCGAAAAGTGGGTGCAATGGCCAAACCAGATTGTATCATCTCTTCTGACGGCAAAAACCTCACCATAAAAACTGAGAGCGCTTTGAAAACAACACAGTTTTCATGTAACCTGGGAGAGAAGTTTGAAGAAACTACAGCTGATGGCAGAAAAACTGAGGTCAGTCATAACTTAACAAAATCACAGAGGCTTGTAGGATGATAGATTGTATTAATAATATTCTTACTGTTTATAGGCAAAACTTAATGAAAAAGTAAAATTATCTGATGAATTGAGTTTGACCAATTAGTGAAAGTACCAGCTTCATAACTTAGTCTATTTTGGAAAAATAGTTTAAGGAACATGAGAGAGAATAAGTGTCTCTTATATGGGGGTCTAGATTGAAAAGCATAAACTATATTATTAAAATCAGTATGGGTTAATGAAGTGGACCCAGAAAGGAAAAGATGAAAAAATGTTGATTAAGGAAGTTATGAGCCATGGCATCTCTCTGAACATACTTTGGAAGATTAAAAAGTGTATTTTTGCAGACTGTCTGCAACTTCACAGACAGCACGTTGGTTCAACATCAGGAATGGGATGGGAAGGAAAGCACAATCACAAGAAAATTGGAAAATGGGAAATTAGTGGTGGTAAGTGCCAAACTTCTTATGTCTTATTAGGCTTTTGTTTGCATTCAGAGTTCACGTAACTGCTCAGTATCACTGATCATGAACATGAGAACTAGGTTTGGGTAGAAAAAAATTGTAAAATAACAAGGTAAACACTAGAACACTAATAACTAAGAAAGCCCTTTGTGGGGGTGGAGACATGAGATGATGTAGCAGAGGATGTACCTGGAGCTGGGTTTAGTTTATGCTCACTACTGCATTACAGTAAAATCATGGGCAAGCCACTGAACTCCCTTCTTGGACATACATCTTTCCATTTCTTTAAAATAAGGAACAACATTTGCAGTGATCAAACGAATACTTTAGATTTTGCAAATCAATACTTTAGTTTGCAGTAAAGCATACACATGTCATAAGCAAAATAACAGGTTCTAGCTTTTCAAACCCAGGAATTCTAAAATTCATTTTCTCCATCTATGAAGTAGATTACAAAGTTTTGTAGGATGCCGATCCTAGTATTTAACTACTACCATTGCTCTACAATGCAAGACTAACCTAATTCTTTAATATCGTTCTTTCTTCTAGGAATGCATCATGAATAATGTCACCTGTACTCGGGTCTATGAAAAAGTAGAGTAAAAATTCCATCATCATTGTGGACAGGAATTAGCTGTGAGGATGAACAAGCTCAGTTCAATGAGCAAATCTCCATACTGCTTTTTTTTTTCATTACTGTGTTCAATTATCTTTATCACAAACATTTTACATGCATCTATTTCAAAGTGTTGATTTAATTAGGATCATCCCTTTGGTTAGTAAATAAATTTGTGCTATGCCAGTGTTGTATGCTTTTTTTTAACTTTATAGGAAATTAGTCATAAATTTTAATAAGTATGAATTGAATAAATTCTGGGGTAGTCTTGAGGGTACTATATTGAGATCATATTTTAGTAATTTATATGGAGAGCTACTTCTATGGCAAATACACTACCAATCATTTAAGCTTGCCCTACACTATTTGAACTCTATATCAACTCTTAAATTTAAGAATCTTAAATTTCTGGCAAAAGTCTATTCTCATTAAAAAAAGAGCTACATAAACTTTATAATATAAATATTAGAATAAAAGTTAGATTACCATCATTGACCAGTGATCATACTTTTAATAGTGTACTTATAACTATTATTCAGGAATTCTGCAACCCCAAATTCCTTTAATTAACTTTATGAGGGCCTACCATGTGCCAGGCAGTGTTGCAGAGGTTGAGGCATATCTGGACACAAGGTCAAATCATTGCCCTCACAGCTTGGAAGGACACAGTGGGTTCCTTAACAAAAGCTGTAGAAGTAATACAGCTCTAAAATGCTTCCTGTGTGCATATATAAAGAATAACAATTCTAGTGAACACCTGTTCTGCTTCTCAAACTCAAATACAAACATCTGCAGTTCACCTTTGGAGAAGCAGCTTGTAGACATTGGGCTAAAGCCTTATGTGCATGATCAGCAGAGCAATACTTAGGGGAGCTAGTACCATTATCTCTATTCAGCAAATAAAACAGGTTTTGACTAACTGACCTGTTCAAGAACATAGGAATTAGCAGAGCTGGATTGGGAACGTACATCTCACGGAGTCCACTCAATGACTCTTCAGTCATTCTACGACACCGCTTCTCATCAGCTTGTATTAAGATCCTGAGTCTATAACGTCCCTCAATATAATAATTGAGGCTTTTGCAAAACTACTCTGAAATGCTAGCTGGTAAGAATCTTAAGAATTACTGAAAGCTAGCAGTCAGGGAAAGAGCTCAGCTCACTGACGCTCTAGGCCTATGCTGTCCAATATATAGCCATGAGCCGCAGGTGGCTATTGAGCACTTGAAATGGGGCTCATCTCAATTGAGATGTGTTGAAAGTAAGATACACATGGGATTTCAAAAACTTGATACAAAAAAAAGGGTGAAATGCCTCCTTTTAAAAATACTGATTACATATTGAAATAACATTTCTGGATATAGTTGGTTACCTAAATATATATTAAAAATAATTTTACCTGTTTCTTCGTTTTTTTACTGTGGCTAGGGAAAATTTTAAAATTATATGTGCCGGCATTTTTGTGTCCATGTCTTTTTATTGGATGGTGCTGCTCTAAACTTCCTTTTCTATTTGAATTTCCATCTTATTTTAGTCTTCATGCTAGAGTTCCTCTTTCATCCTCTTTTTTTCACTTCTAACAATAGTGTGCACTGAATACAACTCTCCCTGGATCAAACACTGGGCCAGGTATTTGAAGAGATTTGTAATTCTCAGAACCACCCTAGATTATATGCATTAACTATTGTTTTCTGCCTTGTTTAGATGAGGAAACTAAGGCTCAGAGTCTAGGTAATGGGGTTGCAACCCATACAGTGAGTACAAGGCAGAGAACAGATTGGAGCACAAGTTCATCTGACGGTCAAGC